TAATGTAGGTACAGGGAGGGTTGTTGTATTGAGGTACCAAGAATTTATCAGCAATGTACAAGACATAAAAATGATGAACATGTACCTCAACGTGTTTGCCATCTGAAGTGTAAATAGCAGTTGCTGTCATCTCATTCTTAGTTAGAGTACCTGTCTTGTCTGAACAAATAACAGTCACACATCCTATGAAAAAACAAAGAATAAAAGATATAAATATAAAGATATTTCTAGCATGCATCCTATTTCCTTTATTACATACAGGTTTCCATAGTAACCAGGCACCTGTATATTATGTGATAAAAAAAATTGCTGTAGACTTGGAAAATTTATGTTGTTACCTTCCAACTGTCATAACAAACTTTACATAAAGGTTCTTAGTAATATTCTAATATTGCAAACAAAACTATTCAATTTATAAATTTTATAAAATCCACACTATACTTACCAAGTGTTTCCACAATTGGTAATTTTTTAACAATAGCATTTCTTTTAGCCATTCTCATGGATCCAAGTGCCAGCGTAACAGTAACCACTATTGGTAAACCTTCAGGAATTGCTGCCACAGCCAAGCTTTAAAAAAAAACATAAACAGAAGTTTGGATATTTTGATGAGATATTTTTAGTTTAATAACAAGAGTATTTATATACAGTCAGGACAAAGCTTCTAAGCTGGCTCTTACCTGGCTTTGCTTTTTTTTTCTTAAAAAAGTTTTTATTTGTTGTAGTTTACCTACTGCAAAACTCACTAAGCTGAGTTTTCAACTGGGGCCCAACTGCATAACTGCCAGGCCTAATGAATCAGTTGGTTGAGGCAATAAAAAATGAGCAAACCTACATAACTAAAATACGGTCACTGACTCGAAATGACCTACGAATGAAACCAATCAGATACTATAGTATACACTCAATCAGTTTGGGAAACCTGCCAAACCCAGGGATTGCACCAAAAAATCATGGGACATATTAGAGAAGGAAAACAATTATCCATGACAATTTTAAACAAGGTTGATTTTAAGTTTATGTAAAAGGAATTCACATAAAATGGTAGCCTGCCTTTTGTTAATGTAAAGCGATCAGTTGTAAAAAGAAGGCAAAAGTTATGTCAGCCAAACACTATGTCAAAATTCTCAGTAAGATGGTCCTAACAAGCAGAAGGAACACTGAAATTCTGACAAGTGACAACATAGTGTTTATTACAATGACAAATATTTAACGACTTTTACTGCATAAAATCTTATGTGCAACGTATAGAATGTCTGTCTGTATGTACCTGACTCCGATGGTGAACATATCCAGTAGTTTCCTTTTTTGCACCCATCCCAATAGCATGATGCATCCAATAATACAGAATGAATAAAAAGACAACTGTTTACCCAATGTACCCATACTTTTCTGCAGAGGTGTCTTAGGAGCCTGAAAAATAGTTAAATAGTGCATGAGATGCATGTGAAAACTATCACACAATATTTTCATCTTTGTATATACTCATATACACACTGTGATGCTGAAAAACACAGACACTCACTTGATTATGTGTAAACAATGTATTTTACCAGCATTGTTTGTCACATGGGACTTGAACTGAACATAACCTTGTGAGATGACTGTAATGCTTACAGAGAAAACATTTCGTCATTGAGATCGCTCTGGATGTTGTAAGATTACCTATTTTGTTTCAAAATACACACATTTACATATTTCTATGTGTAAATATGTCAGAACACAAAAAGAAGCATGATGTCAATTACATGTACTAAGCATGCTTTCTCCTCTTTGTTCTCACCTCTTCACCTTGCATCATTTTAAAAACTTCGCCAAACTGTGAAACCTCCCCTGTTCCTATGACAACACCCTGTGAAAATACAATTATTGTGGTTTGATTTACAGTTTAATAATACACTATATATACCGGTACATGTAAATGCAATAGATGAATAGAGATCACATGTGAAATGTACTATTAACAGATGAAAACAAGTTGGGCACAGACGGCACCAAAGTAACTAGCCAATACTGGAGGAACAGTAATAAAGTGGGCTACAACATGGTTTGTGAAAAAACAATAAAAATAAAGTGAAATTGCTAGTATATTGCAAGGTTTCTCAATTATGACTCAGAATGACATATGACAGATGCCAACTGGAGCAGGATGTGCTCACAAAATTGACCTCACCTCTTGTATAGCTTGAAGCCCAGACATTATTTTTCCACTGATTTGACAATATTTTGTGCATTGGTTGTAATTTTATTAAATATATTCATAAACTCGCATTTCCCACATGCAACTTTCTATTACTTATCTATGTTATTATCACTTCATAGTACAACCGGAGTATTAACACACGTAGTACTTTAAAATATTTAAAAGACTCAGGATCATTGCAAGCAATTTTAATTTGATTATCACTATTCTTGGGGGCAGAGATCCAGGTATTTTCCCCACCTGGCAACCATCATGGTGAAAACAAACGCCGGAAACTCTTAGAAAACTGAACTTTGAAACGGATGTTGACAATTTTCTGAACAGTTTAATAAGATTACCCCTACATGTGCAAAATATATAAATTTGGTTGCTCGGGACTACTTCAAAGTTGAATTTGTTTCCTTAATTGTAGCTGTTTATACTGGCTCTTCAACTGATATTCATCAGCACTGAGCCCATAAAAATACACGGTGCACATCTTAGCAACGTAGTACATTCTGTGATGTAGCTTTCCTCCCTAGGATTAAAATTTTTGAGATGAGAGTGATAAACTTACCTTTCCTCTTCCACACCTTACTAGGGTACCCATATAAGCTATGTTTTTCCTAGTTGTCAGTTTTCCATTTGTTGTCTTGGATAGAGTTTCTACAGTTTTATTACTTGGTTTAGTTTCCCCAGTAAAACTAGACTCGTCTATAGCCAGGCCGACAGCCTGTAATTATAATGCATTCATCTAAATGGTTGGTAGCTCAAACACATGTATGAAGGGCATATACAATAGAAATGACAAATTGACCAATGGTGCTCATACAATGATTTATATTTATATAGCCGTACCAATCTAGAAAACACTACAGTGTAGGCATTCTGCACCAATCTAAAATGCTGTACTAATTCAGATCATATTGAATGGTGGTGAGCTTGGGACAAGATTAAAATAACACTCATATCAGATTATATCATAGTAAACACAACTAGTAAATCATTGGCTAATCTGCAGATTAGACAATTTCTTTTATCCTGTATCCTATATCCTATAAACCGCTTTAATTTTGCACAAAATTTTGTAGCATTGAATATTATTAGGGTTATACAAACCCGTTTGTTTACCTAATCATACCTACCAGAAAGTCCGTAGAAATAATAAATTCCATTTATTACTCGTAGGCTTAACTACAGATTACAGCCCATATCGGAAACTATTAGGGAATATACCCTGTTCACAAAGAACACCTTAGGGTAGCATTTCCTATAGAAACAAGCCATGCATTGCACAGTCCCCGTAAGTTATCAAATTTAAGATATATAGTTTTGTTTATAGTAATATAGCTGGAATATAACCATGTCAGGAATATGATTTTTTTAACATTAAAATGATTGACATTTGTATCTGATCGTCAAAAAAATACTTGAATGTCCATATTGAGAGAAATTGCTCTGGAAGAGCATTCAAAATCAACCATTTTGAATACATACATATTTATATAACATGATGTATAACGAATATATAAAATTTGAATATAATCAGTCTAAGCATTTAAGAGATATGGCTCTAGAAGCCCAATCATTAAAACAAAATGGCCGCCAGTCCGCCATTTTGAATCCAAACTGAAAAATAAAATGACGTGCATCAGGAAACTGTAATGTCTAATGTATGTACCAAGTTTGAACAAAATCCATCCATAAATGCAAGAAATGCTTGATATTTGAGGATTTTTTTAAAGGATAGTCAAACCAATATATCTATCTGTCTATGACATGATGTATAATGAATATTCGAAATTTGAACATAATCAGTCAAAACAAGTCGGAGATATGGGTCTAGAAGCCCATTCATTAAAACAAAATGGCCGCTAGTCGGCCATTTTGAATGTTATCTGAAAAACAAAATTATTTGCATCAAGGTCCCATAATGTCTAATGTTTATATCAAGTTTGAACAAAATCCATTTGTAAACAGCCGAGAAATGCTTGATTTTTATGATTTTTCAGCACAAAAATGGCCGTCATTCGGCCATCTTGAATCAGATCGTAAACAAAATGATGTGCATCAAGGTCCTATAATGTCCAATGTATATACAAGGTTTGAACAAAATCCATCTGTGAACAGCCGAAAAATGCTTGATTTTGATGATTTTTAGCACAAAAATGGCCACTATTCGGCCATCTTGAATCAGATCGTGAAACAAATTAACATGCATATGTATAATATCATGTATGATGTATGTGTGAAATTTGATTGTGATTGGTCCAGGCATTTCTAAGATACAGGTCCGGGCGCACTCACAGACGCATGTACGGACATACGGAGGTCAAAACATAAGTCCCCGTTTTCAGACTGCGTCCGAACGGGGACTAAAAAGGCCTCTCCTAAGAGACCACACATAAGAGGCATGATCCGACATTCTCACAAACGTTTCATCTGCCACAACGGGTCGCCAAGCGGCACTATTGCGTATCCCTGGAAGGTGGTGAGCCGATAGCTTCACTTGGCTCCAGGCACCAAAATAGAATCTCCTCCGCTAGCTTCGACAAGGTGGGGGAACATGTCCCCCCCTCCTTGTTGATGTACGACACTACTGAGCTGTTGTCTGTCCGAAGCAAGACTCTGTGGTGGTGTGCGACTTCCAGAAAATGTTTCGGAGACAGTAGGTCTGCAACTAGGTCCCAATACGAGGGCGGCCACATCCCCTGAACCTGAAGGTTCATCAGATGACCACCCCATCCCTGGAGCGACGCATCTGTAATGAGAGTCAGCGAGGGAGTCGTCGGCTCTAGGGGTACACCCGTTTCCAAGTTCTGTGCGTCCTGCCATCAAAAAAGGGTCGCCGTCGCTTGATCTAACAGTTGAACCCTGAATGTCAAGTTCCGCATGTGGACTCTGTAGTCCAGTAAGCACCTCTGAATTGGAGACCGGAGAGCTGCTAATGGAACCAGACGACGAACTGACGTCATTTTGCCAATAAGCCGCATCAGTTTGCGCATTGACATTGATCTCGTCGACCGGAGTTGGCTGGCGAGCTCTACAAGAGAGCTTCATCGCTCCCGAGAGGGGCGAACGCGCCCTTGCTCCGTGCCGAACTGCATACCCAGAAAAACCAGGCTTTGAGACGGTATTGGGTTGGACTTGGCAATAATATTTAATAAATATTTAATAAAAAGCCCAACTCGTGCAGGAGCGTCTGCGTCAACCGCACATGCTCCACTAAAACCTCCCTGTCTCAGTTGTGTATTAACCAGTCGTCGAGGTATGGGTTCAGATAGACCGACGACCGGAGTAGCAGCTGGGTCACCTGTCTTAGCACTCTGGTGAAGACATACAGTGCCGTGCACAGACCAAAGGGGAGGGCGGTAAACTCGTAGACTTTGCCCTCTAATGGGAATCTGAGATACCGGCTGCATGAGTGGTGAATGGGAATGTGGAGGTAAGCGTCGCTCAAATCCAGCCTGAGTGCACTGACAGAAGCCGGTGTTTCCATCCACAAACCTGTTCAGCCGACTGAGGTCTAGGACTGGACCCCCCCCCCGAACTCTTAGGAACGAGGAAGATGCGGGAATAGAACCCTGATGATACATGAGGATTCCTCACTAGGTGTAACGGCCTTTTCTCCAGAAGGCTTGCTACTTACTGTCGGATTGTCTCCGCCTTGAACCTGTCCCTCGGCAAAAGACCTGAGGGAGGGTGAGGAGTCAGAGGAGGAGGAGACTGAAGAGGAATCTGATACCCAAGTGACACTACTTCGAGCGTCCAGGGATCGGAAACCCTCCTGCGCCAAGCTGGTATGTGCTGCATAAGGCGCGATCCCACGTGAAGGAGCGGACGGGGGTTCGGAGCTAGTGCTTCCCGAACTCCATCCTCCAGAATGGGAGGACAAAGAGGGGGAGACTGTGCCCGGGGAGCCCGGGGAGGGAGACCCGCAGTCATACCACCATCCATGTCCAGGCAGCCGGCAAAATCTTCAAAAAGATTTCGCGACCCCCTGGTCCCCAAAGGTGTCAGAACGCCCACCACCAACGCCACGTTTCTTAGGGTTTTGTTGACGCTTCCCGCTACTCGTCTTCTGCCCCTTCGAAGGAGACCATGAGCGCTTTGATCCTCGTTGGTTGAGGCTCCAAGCGACGGACTTACTACCTGAGCTGCCTTGCGGTTTTGGTCTGACCCGTTGACCAGAAGGACTAGCTACCTTAGCCAACAGAGACGATTGCTTCAATTGGATACGCTGATCTTCCGCAATCGTCAAACCGTTCACTGCATCCACTAACGGAACACCAAATAGCCGGTCACGCCCCCAAGGCCTTCTCCACAGGCGATCAAACTTGTCTCCCACTGGAGTAGGATAGGCGCACAGACCCAGAACTGCCTCACGCTCAGCCGAAACTGCCCCTGCCAAGAGGGCAGTATGAACTGCTCGAGGATAGAGTTTTGATGCTAAGCACTCAGAAGATCAGAACTTAGCAAGGAGAGCTGACGCTCTAACGCCAAAGAAACCCATTCTATAAAATGTATGGGTGTAAGTTCCGCCTGTAAAGCCCTATGCACTAGTAGGCTCTGGTGCCGGTCAAATGACCACGCAACGTGGCCTTCCCAATCCGCACTACCCACCTTAACAAAAGTATGGGTACCTGGATCAGGACGGTGAACCCGTGGAGAAGGCTGTGGTACTGCGAGAGTGTCCCACTCCGAGGACCCATCGACGGTTCGCGTAGCCCCAATGAGGTATCGATTGACCGAACGGTTCAGGTTCAGGTTTGTCCTTTTCCCCCCAAGGGTACCAATCGCCCCCCTCCATTGCCCTCTCCATAGCCTGGGTCACACGAGGTGCCCAGGGGAGTTGGCCGGCGGATGTAGTCTCCACGCCGGCAATGGGAGAAGAGTGTCGATAAAAACGGGTCCGGGGGGGGGGGGGATTACCACCGGCCCTGTGCGAAACAAGAGTCTTGCGGCCGTCACTGCACGGTTCACAAGCTGCGACCTTAACTGCTTATTAGTAAGGGACAGCTGGGCTCCGGTTGGTCGGGTATCCTGTGACTGCGCCGCCAAAGTGGGGACGAGAAACGACAAAGCACTCGCCACCTCCTGTCGGGGAAGTGGTCGCTGTCCCCCATAAGAGGGTTGGGTACCACCCTGTACAGGGGTACCAACACTGGAGTCCCCTCCCCTCGCAGAGTCATAAGAGGGGACATGGCTTGGAAAGATGCAGGAAACAATGCCTGGTCAGCCCGAGCCTGAGGGGGGTGTGGGGAAAGCCTGAGGGGTGTGTGGGGAATACGGAAGAGGATGCGTGAGGCGATTCATTCCGAGGAGAGGGCCCCCTTCTATAAAAGAAGTGGACGCTCCCCCTCCCATTGATGTGAATTGTCCCCCACTGACCCTCTAAAGGAGAGATCACTTGGAGAAAGGGACACACCTGACCCTAGCCCTGGTGGTGGAAGTACAGGCAATATCTCAGCCGAGCAGGGAGTCAGATAAGTGAGAACTCTCCTAAAATCTTGGTAGTCGAACGGAGGCGAGCCTCGTGGTGACTACCAAGCGTAGGGAAAGATTTCTCACTCATAGAATCAGACATACCAGCGCTAGCGGCAGTAAGATTTGTTTCCCTTCTTTATGCGACCTCTACCAGCTTTAGATCGCTTGCCTTCAGCCTTCCAACCCGCTTCACAAATGAGCCACATTTTATGGTCCCATAAATCGCAAATCCCCTCTAAGCAGACC